CTGGAGTTGGAGGTTGCTGTGAGCGTGATGCCATGGCACTCTACCCAGGGGGACAGCTTGAGGCTCTGTCTCAAAAAAAAAAAAAAAAAAAAAAACAATAAATAAATAAGGCTGGGTGCAGTGGCTCACGTGTGTAATCCCAGCACTCTGGGAGGTTGAGGTGGGTAGATCGCTTGAGCCCAAGAATTTGAGGTTGCTGTCAGCTATGATCCCTGCTGTCAGCACTCTACCAGGGGCAACAAAGTGAGACTCTGCCCCCAAATAAATAAATAAATGAATAAATAAATAACAGAGCACAGACTGGCCATGTCATATGAGTTCCTTCCCTGGTGCTGCCACTGATTTGCCAGGTGGAGCCTCAGTTTCCCCAGCTGACAGGGATGCTCCTCTCCCTGCCCCCTGGGCTGTGTGAGAGGGGTGGGCTGGGTGCTCCACGCAGGCTGAGAGACAAAGACAGGGACTGTTATCTTTCCCATGTCCACTGGGTGGCATTTCCTTCCTGCCTTACGCCTTTTGTCTTGGGAAACTTCCAAAATGCTTCAGGGAGGGAAAACCCAAAAAGCCCACACAGGAAGCATCCAGGCTGCACACAGGCCTTCAATAATTGCTTGATGGAATAAATCAGTGCTCAACCATGTGGCAAACAGGATAAACGATCTCGGATGGCCTGGGATTTGGGTCTGCCTGGAGGTGGCCGCGGAATCCCCAGATGGGAGCAGGGGAGGGTGGGCAGAATGGGGTGTTGTCAGGTGAAGGTAGGTAGGCGGGTACTGCAGGTGCACAGCAGAGGTAGGACAGAGCCAATGGGAGACCCCAGACGTGATGGAAGTTTCTGGTAGCTGATCTGGGCTGTCTCCTCTGGGAGGAGGCATTCCTAAAACCCTGCATCCACCAGGGCATTGAAGGCCCCACAGACGTGCAGGCATTTAGAGCTTCCTGACAAACAAGCCATCAACTGCTTTGCTCCTCACCATGGTGGGATGGGAATAAGGGTCACTGTGGCTGGTTTGTGACCCTCTCTCTGGCTGCAGTTCTCTGGGCTCAGAACAGAGACTCAAGTAAAAGGTGTGGCTATCACCCAAGTAAGTCATACTGCCAGCTTCTGGGTCTGGGGGCTCAGCAGCTGCCCACTCACCCTGCTGTGCAGGTGTTGGTGTGACCTGCAATTTGGGGACTGCCATTCTTCTGGACAGAGTAAGGGTAAACAGACCCTGTCCTCCCCATCTCCAGGGTTCAATAGCTCTTGCCAGGACAGGGTGGGTGGTGGAAGGGAGCTGCCCCCCAAGCCTGACACTCCAAATGGTGTCCTCTGTTGTATGTCCCCCACCACCACCCCCAGGCTGTCCCCAGGCTTGTTTCCCTTCCAGCCATGGCATCTCTCACAACGGTCGGCAGTGAGTCAACTTGGAGCCCTCAGGTTGAGCCCCAGGGCGTGGGTGGGAGGAACGCAGGGAGAGGGGTGGGCTGCCACACCCTGCAGCTCACCTGGCTTTGGACCCCAACTCAGGGGTCAGCACTGCAGGCAGTGAAGATGAAGAAAGTACTGAGGTTTTTGAGTGTGAGTTCTCAGCAACTCCTCAGTGAGCAGGTCCTATTGGATCTCTCCAGGCAGCTCAGATATCCAGGCTGCTTCCTGCCCACTGGGGATAAGTTCCCTTCTTCAGCTTTGGAGTTTACCCTTGCTCTGGCTCCCAGGATACACCTGGGATGGGGTGAGGGGAACTTGGGGGTTGTAAAATCAGCCACTTAGGTTGAGCCACTGCGCTGCAACCTACATCAAGAGGCCAAGGTCAGGTTTCCTTTTCCTGGAGCTGACTCCACCCCGAATTTGAATATCCCATGTGGAATGCAGGACTGGCATAATCAAGGCACCCTGTTCTTTAGCCCTCTGTCCCCCTTTTTTCTGTCCTTGGCACTGGCTGTGTACCCTGCCTGGATCACTGTCTCCACACCTGTGTCCCCTGAGGGCGCAGGTCTGAGCTCAAATGACATTCCCCTCTATGGCTTCCCATGTTTTTATTTTCCTCAGCTCATTTATCACTAACTGAAATGATCTCCTTCTTAGGTTGGGATTAGGAGCCCAAGCTCTGATCCACACAGCTTGGGTTAAATCTCCAGCTCTGTCAGATACCAGGTGTGAAACTTGAGACAAAAAGCTTACATTCCCAGACTCACTGTGCATCAGTTTCCTCCTTGAGCCTGGGCACACAGCAGTTGCTAGGCTTTCATGGCCTCTGGGGTGTGGCTCCCTAAAAGAGTGGGTTCTGGCAGGTCACAAATATCTTATCCACACTTCTGAGTAAATAAGGGAGACCATGGTATTATCAGAGGAAGAGGGTCAGTTCCCCTGTCACTGTCGGTCAAATGCAACAAGCTTTATTATCAGGCTCATGCCTGTAATCCTAGCACTCTGGGAGACTGAGGCAGGTAGATTGCCTGAGCTCAGGAGTTTGAGATCAGCCTGAACAAGAGCAAGAACCTGTCTCTACAAATAGCCAGGCATTGTGGCAGGTGCCTGTAGTCCCAGCTACTCAGGAGCCTGAGGCAGAAGGAGCACTTGAGCTGAAGAGTTTGAGGTTGCTCTGAGCTATGACAATGCCACAGCACTCTACCCAAGGTGACAGAGTGAGATTCTTTCTCAAAAAAGGCTTGGTGCCTGTAGCTCAGTGAATAGGGTGCTGGCTACATACACCAAGGCTGGTGGGTTTGATCCCAGCCCGGGCCTGCTAAACAACAATGACAACTGCCAACAACAATAAATAGCCGGCTCAGCGCCTATGGCTCAAGCAGCTAAGGTGCCAGCCACATATACCTAAAGTGGCGGTTTCGAATCCAGCCCGGGCCTGCCAAAAACAACAATGACGGCTGCAACCAAAAAATAGCTGGGTGTTGTGGTGGGTGCCTGTGGTCCCAGCTACTTGGGAGGCCGAGGCAGGAGACTCGCTTGAGCCCAGGAGTTGGAGGTTGCTGTGAGCTGTGATGCCATAGCTCTCTACCCAGGGGGACAGCTTGAGGCTCTGTCTCAAAAAATAAAAAAAACAACAGTAAATAGGCAGGTGTTGTGGCAGGCGCCTGTAGTCCTGGCTACTTGGGAGGCTGAGGCAAGAGAATCCCTTAAACCAGGCATCCTCAAACTATGGCCTGCCTAGGACATTTATCTGGCCTGCCGGGTGTTTTTGCCGCTGTTGCCTGTCCTGCTTAGCAGCCGACTCGTCCTGGGGCCCATATTCTGGCCCTCCAATGGTCTGAGGGACAGTGAACTGGCCCCCTGTTTAAAAAGTTTGAGGACCCCTGCCCTAAACCCAAGAGTTAGAGGTTGTTGTGAGCTGTGACACCATGCACTCACATAGTGAGACTCAGTCTTAAAAAAAAAAAAAAGGCAGTACCTGTGGCTCAAGTAATAGGGCACCTGCCCCATGTGCCACAGGTGGTGGGTTCAAACCCAGCCCTGGCCAAAAAAACCTGCAAAAAAAAAAAAAGAATAAAATAAAGTTACACTAGGAACAACATGGAACACATTAGCAAAAAACACCAAGGGGCCCACAGAATATAACAACAAAGATGCCTGAGAATAATATATTTCCTATCCCAATGACTGAAACTCTTAACCCATTTATTCATCTCTGCTACACAGTTCTGCAGTCCAAAGGTCAGGCTCATGTTCATTGGTTCTCTCCAGGATAAGGCTTGATGTGGCAGTAATGTCATCCAGCTAACTTGACTGCTATAGGGGTGGTGAGCAGGACATCCCAGGGGCCAGATCCTGAGTCTGACCAACCTGTACCCAGGGAGAACATGGGGACAGCTGTGTGTGGGGTTAAACTCCAGGGACATCTCTGTCCTGCCATGCCTCAGTATCCCCATCTGTAAAAGGGATACTCCTCACAGGCCTGCGTTGGTGCTGGGACTGAGCCTTGACTCTGCAGGTGCCAGGCAGGTGGCTGGTTCCTGGAACCTTGTTCTCACCTCACCAGTCCTAGGCTGGCTGCTCAGTAGGCCTCAGGCCTCTGTGACTGATGAAAGGGCCAATTGCTGAGGGGCAGCTCTTGCAGGAAGGATGATTGGGTGCAGGGGTTTGGCCGGAGGCTGTGGGCCTCAGGCCAGCACAGGGCAGTGAATCAGGGCCCAGGCATGCAGAGCTGGGGCCTCTCCCACCCCGTGAGCTCAGGCACCTCCCTGAGTCCGCCTATTGGCTGAGTTCCTCACTCACCCACTCCCTCCCTCCATTATCTGTCAGGCCTGGGGCCTGCTTGGGGGGACAGGGGCAGGCATACCTTCCTCTGAGCCTGGGCACTGCTACCTGAATGACACTGTCTCCTCCTTAGGGAAAATGAGATCCAGGCTGCTGGGGGAGAGGGATGGAGAGGGACCAGCAGGGTACCCCTCCAGGAACAAAGCAAGGCCATTCATTCAGGGAGGGGTATAAGAGGCCTAGCCCAGGGGTACCCTCTGCCTCTGATACCTGCTTTCTCTCCAGGCCTCTCAGCGGGCTGCAGGAATGTTTGTATAACCAGGGAAGTAGAGACTCTCAGCCAGGGGCTGGGTCTGCTCCACTCCAGTGCCTTCAGGCATGCAGAGGACAGTTGTTCCCTATTGGCCGCACTGGCCACGAAGGCGACAGCAACTACTCAGCCAGCCTGACTTGCACACTGGTTCCTGGCTAGGGCAGGTGATCAGCCTTGCCTATGTGCCCCTCACTCCATAAGGACACCAGGCAACAGCTGGAGACATTTCCTGCTGTGACAGCTGAGTAGGCCCTACTGGCATTTGGCAGATAGAGGAAAAGCACACTGCTAAATGTCCTACAACACCCAGGACAGACCTCACCACACAGAATTATGTGATTCATCGTCCCCAGGGCTGCTCTGCTTCCACTTCATGTCATGTAAAAGCAGCCACCAACCTTAAAAATGAAGACAGTCCCAGAGAGCTTCTATGAACACTTAACTGTATGTCTAAATCCAGGCCCTCAGTAGAGGCTGGGCTTCTGAAGTTCTTTGGACATTTCAGGGATACACGAACAACCCCTCTTTTTTGGGTTTCCCTCCCCAGAGGCCAACAGGTTGGCTTCCTTGGCCCCCAAAGCTCTGAGGGTCACTTGAATGGACATTGTCAGTGCCCACTCGATGTGCTCAGATGCTTCTAAGCCGTACTGTTCTGTCTGCCTAGAACGCCCGGCAGTGATTAAAACACCAACTGGGGGCAGGGGCTCATGCCTGTAATCCTAATACTCTGGGAGGCCAAGGCAGGTGGATTGCTTCAAGACCACCCTGAACAAGAGCCAGGCCCCATCTCTATTAAAAATAGAAAGATTAGCCGGGCATTGTGGGGGACACCTGCAGTCCCTGCTACTTGGGAGGCTGAGACAAAAGAATTGCTCGAGCCTGAACATTTGAGGTTGCTGTGAGTTAGGCTGACACCATGGGACTCTACCAAGGGTGACAGGAGACTCTACCCCACTCCCACCTCCCGCAAAAAAACCTAATTGTAAATAATTCCATAGTAGAAAGGAACATGATAAAACCCAAATCCACATTCATGTAATTAATATGTCTGCTAGCTTCAGGCAAAGCTGTATTCAGGGGGCATTTGGTGTCAGTGGGGCTGTGTCTCCCTCTTTGCACCCCCAAGCAGACTGCAAGCTTCCCTTGCTCAGTAGAACCCTAAGCACCAAGGATGAGGGAGGGGGGAACAAAACAGACTGGCCACAGGCTATGTGCTGAATCAGTTAGGGTTTATTTTAGTGACTTACACTGGAAAACCCAAAATAACAATAGCTTATATAAGGTAGAAGTTTAGGTTTGTTCCCTCTTTTTTTTTTTTTTTTTTGAGACAGAGCCTCAAGCTGTCCCCCTGGGTAGAGTGCCGTGGCATTACAGCTCACAGCAACCTCCAACTCCTGGGCTCAAGCGAGTCTCCTGCCTCCGCCTCCCAAGTAGCTGGGACCACAGGCGCCCACCACAACGCCTGGCTATTTTTTGGTTGCAGCCATCATTGTTGTTTGGCGGGTCCAGGCTGGGGATTCAAACCCGCCATCTTAGGTGTACATGGCTGGCGCCTTAGCCGGTTGAGCTATAGGCGCCGAGCCTGTTCCCTCTTCATCCCCGTTTAAATAAGTTTTTGCTGGTGGGTGTGGTGGCTCATGCCTTTAATCCTAACACTCTGAGAGGTCAAGGCGGATGTATCGCCTGAATTCAGGAGTTTGAGACCAGCCTGAGCAAGAGTGAGACATCATCTCTAAAAATAGCCCGGCATTGTTTTTTTGTTTGCAGTTTTTGACTGGGGCTGGGTTTGAACCCACTACCTCTGGCATATGGGGCCAGCACCCTACCCCTTTGAGCCACAGGCACTACCCAATAGCCAGGCACTGTGGTGGGCACCTATAGCCCAAGCGTTTGAGGTTGCTGTGAGCTCTGACGCCATGGCATTCTACTGAATAACAAAATGAGACTCTGTCTCAAACAAATAAAAATATAAGTGCTTACTGATAAATGCCCCACTATCACCAGAGAACAAGGCTGTCACCCCTACAGGACAACACCCTCCTCACATGTGGCAGGATGGCTACTAAGGCTTCAGCCATTACTCCCAAATTCTAAGAAACTGAAAGGGGTAAGAAAAGGTGTACTTGCTGGGCAGCGCCTGTGGCTCAGTGGGTAGGGCACCAGCTCCATATACCAAGGGTGGCGGGTTTGAACCCAGCCCCGGCCAAATTGAAACAAAAAATAGCTGGGCGTTGTGGTGGGCTCCTGTAGTTCCAGCTACTTGGGAGGCTGAGGAAAGAGAATCAATCACCCAAAAGCTGGAGGTTGCTGTGAGCTGTGATGCCACAGCATTCTACTGAGGGCAACAGAGTGAGACTCTGTCTCAAAAAAAAAATTTTAAAAGGGTATACTTGACTTTTAAGAATCTTTCTGGAACTTTCATACACTTCTAAGTACATTTCAGTAGCCTACACTTAACTGCGAGGGAGGCCAGGAAATGGGTGGGGGTGTGTGTTTTGTTTGAGATAAATTTTCACTCAGTTGCCCTTGGTAGAGCGCTATGGCATCATAGCTCACAGCAACCTCAAACACTTGGGCTCAAGCAATTCTCTTGCCTCAGCCTCCTAAGTAGCTGGGACTACAGGCACTTGCCCCAAGGCCACCTATTTTTAGAGATAGGGTCTCTTGCTAAGCTGGTCTCAAACTCCTAAGCTCAAGCAATCTACCCACCTCAGCCTCCCAGAGTGTTGGGATTAATTACAGGTGTAGGCCACTATAACCCACTCAAGGTCTCAAACTCTGGAGCTCAATTGATTTTCTCACCCTGGCCTCCCAGAGTGTTAGGATTACAGGTGTGAGCCATCATGCCTGGCCAGCTAAAAGGGTTCCCTTTATTAAGAAGGGAAGTAGCCAGGTGTTGTGGCGGGTACCTGTAGTCCCAGCAACTTGGGAGGCTGAGGCAAGGGACTCTCTTAAGCACAAGAGTTTGAGGTTGTAGTGAGCTATAACGCTACACACTCTATTGAGGGAAACATAGTCATTCTCTGTCTCAAAAAAAAAAATAGCCGGGCATTGGGGTGGGCACCTGTAGTCCCAGCTACTCAGGAGGCTGAGGCAAGACAATCACTTAAGCCCAAGGATGCTGTGAGCTGTGACACCAGAGCACTCTACTAAGGGTAACATAGTGAGACTCTGTCTCCAAAAAAAAAGAAAAAGGGAGGTAAGAACAATATTAAGAAGTCAACTAAAAAAAAAAGAAAAAGTCCACTGTGTTAGGCAGTGACTGTGGCTCTGTGGGTAGGGCACCAGTCCCATATACCAAGGGTGGTGGGTTCAAACCTGGCCTCAGCCAAATTGCAACAACAAAAAAATAGCCGGGCATTGTAGGCGCCTGTAGTCCCCTCGGGAGGCTGAGGCAGAAGCCCAGGAGTTGGAGGTTGCTCTGAGCTGTGTGATGCCATAGCACTCTACCAAGGGTGATAAAAGTGAGATTCTGTCTCTACAAAAAAAAAAAAAAAGAAGTCAACTGTAGTCTCTGACACATTTCACCCTGGGCCCACATGCATAGGGAGTGGAAGGGAGAGGCAGTGGGGCCCCAAAGAAAAACACGAGGCTGGATTGGCTGTATATTCCATGGCCCCCACAAAAATGTCATGGTTGGCTCGGTGCCTATGGATCGAGTGGCTAAGGCGCCAGCCACATACACCTAAGCTGGTGGGTTCGAATCCAGCCCAGGCCTGTCAAACAACAATGACGACTGCAACCAAAAAACAGCCAGGTGTTGTGGTGGTGCTTATAGTCCCAGCTACTTGGGATGCAGAGGCAGGAGAATCGCTTGAGCCCAGGTGTTGGAGGTTACTGTGAGCTGTGATGCAACGGCACTCTACCCAGGGTGGCAGCTTGAGGCTCCGTCTCAAACAAACAAACAAAAAAAAGTCCATGGTTGGTCTAACTTTTTTTTTTTTTTGAGACGGAGCCTCAAGCTATCCCCTTGGGTAGAGTGCCATGGCATCACAGCTCACAGCAACCTCCAACTCCTGGGATCAAGCGAGTCTCCTGCCTCAGCCTCCCAAGTAGCTGGGACCACAGGCACCAGCCACAACGCCTGGCTATTTTCTGGTTGCAGCCATCATTGTTGTTTGGTAGGCCCGGGCTGGATTCAAACCCACCACCTTAGGTGTATGTGGCTGGCGCCCTAGCCACTTGAGCCATAGGTGCTGAGCCGGTTGGTCTAACTTTTAATTAGGTCACACTCAACACAGCTCTGTTCCTTGCTTAAATCATTGCCCCTCACAGGCATCTGGCCCCCTCATTCATGGACCTCAGTCTTTAAGGGCTGCAGGAGACTCCTTGGAATGGACACCCCATAATCTACCTGTCCCTCCTTTTATTTATTTTTTTTCAGAGCCGAGCACAGTGGCTCATACCTGTAATCCCAGAACCTGGGAGGCTAAGGTGGGTGGATTGCCTGAGCTCACAGGTTCCAAGACCAGCCTGAGCCAAAGCGAGACCTCATCTCTAAAAAGAAAAATAGCTGGGCATTGTGGCAGGTGCCCTGTAGTCCCAGCTACTCGGGAGGCTGAGGCAAGAGTATCTATCACTTGAGCCCAAGAGTTTGAGGTTGCTGTGAGCCTTGATGCCATGGCCCTCTACCAAGGGTGACAAAGTCACACTCTGGTTTCTCTTCAGATCATATAAATCTTTCACCTTTTACCAAAGGTGACAAAGTGAAATTCTGTCTGAACAACAAAAAATTTTTTTTGAGACAGTCTCATCGTATACCCTGAGCAGAGTGCAGTGACGTCATCACAGCTCACTGCAACCTCAGACTTGGGTTGTGGGCATCCTGTTGCCTCAGCCTCCCAAGTTGCTGGGATTACAGGTGCTCGTTGTGGTGTCCAGCTGGGTTTTCTCGCTTTTAGGTCAGTGTCTCACTCTTGCTCAGACAACGCTCGCACTCCTGAGCTCAAGCAATCTTCCTGCCTCTGCTTTCCACAGTGCTGCGATTATAGGTATGAGCTACCATGCCCAGCTCCTTATCCTTTTAAATAAGTCCCATCACAAAAGTCACTTTTGGGTGGCACCTGTGGCTCAGTGAGTAGGGTGCCCGCCCCATATACTGAGGGTGATGGGTTTGACCCTGGCCTTGGCCAAATTGCAAACAAAAAACAGCTGGGCGTTGGGGCGGGTGCCTGTAGTCCCAGTTACTTGGGAGGCTGAGGCAAGAAAATCACCTAAGGCTCAGCACCTATAGCTCAACCGGCTAAGGCACCAGCCACGTACACCTAAGGTGGCGGGTTCGAATCCCCAGCCCAGACCTGCCAAAACAACAATGACGGCTGCAACCAAAAAATAGCCGGGCATTGTGGCGGGCGCCTGTGGTCCCAGCTACTTGGGAGGCGGAGGCAGG